CCAATAGAAAGGAAAACTTGAAATTGCTTCATATGACCCCTTTACCATAACAAATAAAAAAAAAATTTACAAATTAAAGGGGTCATCGGATGTTTGAACATAAATGTGTGTTGGAAGTGTGTGTACACATCCATCCTATAATGATAAAAATCCACCCAGTGTTTTTTTTTAATCCCTATTTTAAAATCCCCTTTCTCAAATCAGGCTGTTCTGAGATTCCTGTCAGAATTACATAGTTCTGCACAGGCCCTTCCCACGATAGTTGATTGACACTAGCATCTTACCTTAGACAGTGTTGCCAACTTAACAATTTTGTTGCTAAATTTAAAAACTTTTCAGACTACCCTAGCAAATGTTTCTTCCAAAAGCACCTCACAACAAATTGAGCTATTTTAAAATTTTATTTGGCTACTTTTAGCAACTTTTGATAAGTAACTCAAACAATAAATAGGCACACATTTTCCATCTAAATTTCACAAAAATTGGAAACCAAAGATGCCTAGCAGTACACGCATCACAAGAATTAAGATATTGCTATTTGCAGTTGTTTTCTTTGCCTGGATTACCCGTGTCTTGATTATTGCCTGTTTTCCTCATCTCTGCCTGCCCTGGACTCTATTGCCCGCTGTGGATTACCTCTCTCGTCTCGCCCTTGTTTGGATACTGTTTGCTCCTCGTCTGAACTATTGCTTGTTTATTTGGATACCCCCTTGCCTTGCTCACTGGATTATGTTTGCCGATCGTTGACCTTGTCTGTCCCTGGAATACTCTTTGTAAAAATGTACCTGTTTGACACTGTTTGAATACTCGGCCACACAAGGATCCAGCAGCTTCTCGGATGGACATTGGCAAGGTATGGATATGGCAAGAATATTGTTAGCCCTTAGACAGGACACACAATCGCTGGAAGGCTATATTCAAGAGTATTTAGCCATCGCTCATTATTCAGATCTGCCGGACTGTGTACTGTTAGATTTTTTTTGTGAGGGTATCAATGAACCTTTAAAGACACAATTAATCCGTGAGGGTCCTCGTTCTTCTCTAAGTGATTTTATGGATTATGCTCTGTTTTCTGTTGGCTCAGCGTTCACTGTGGGTATCGTGGTGGAACGCGACCCTGCACTCACTCATGTAATGGCGGCTGCTCTAGAGCACGCTCACAAAATGGCGGCGACAGCGGAGACTGATCGTAAAATGGCGGACACAACAGCGCCCCGTTATGTCACAACTGCCAATCCTGAATCAAGTCAAGTCACAGTTGATCGTCATGGGTCAAGTCAAGTCACAGCTGCTCGACATGAGTCCAGTCACGTCTCAATTGATCTTCCAGAGTCTCGTCACATCACAGCTGATCTCCCAGAGCCTCATCACATCACAGCTGATCTTCCAGAGTCTCGTCACATCTCAGCTGATCTTCCAGAGTCTCGTCACGTCTCAGCTGATCTTCCAGAGTCAAG